GTGTGAGTGCATGTTTAAAAATCCTTATTTAACAACACTCGCTTAAACGTTTCACAAGCCGAAGAAGCTTCAATCGTACCGCAAACCTGTCGTCCACCACCGCCTATACAGTAGCGGGTATAACCATAAGAAGACTTCTGCATCGTACTCACACTACTTATAGTATGGGAGTCAAAGATATGCGTCCGGTACAGGCCTAACCAACCTGTCCAATGCAGGCCCCGCAAAACTAAGAAAGCTAGGAAAAACAGACCCTAATGACAGTTGCAAGGGCATATGCACGGAAACAAAACGTGCGACCTTGTACCAGGTCCAGTGTCTGAACCTATTCCGGGTACGACTAGTAAATCAAATAGCTCATCTGAAAGAAGGTCAAATCCCCACACGCCCCAAACTGATAACACTAGCAATAAACAAGCGATAAAAGAATGAACACCGCTACACACCTCTCTGTCAAACTAAGAATAACCGCTGCCAAAACACATCAATACTTCCACTTGTGGTCCAAAATTCTTAGTAAAATGCAAATTAATAAAATAAAAAATAAACAAATTGAAAAAAAAAATAAAAACAATCGCTCTAACATAGGAGCTCAATGCAAATGTATTCACAAACAATATAGCATTTTCGCATGTTCGCAGAGCTCTAGAAAACTTTTGTTGTGCTACACAACTTATAGGACTATAAGTATGGTCTTTTGAAAAAACAAAAAAATATAATATTTTTGGTTCCTTAACGTAAGGTGTTTCCCTTAGCAATGATTTTCTTTTGAAATACCTACTTTCTCCTTCCCACTTCCAACAATTCTCGAAAAATATTTTTTTATTCATTTTTTCAATCAGTTTACATCACGTGGAATTTTTCTCCCGCAAGAGGCCGAAAAATCGTTTTCTCATAAACTTTCAACAATTTTTCTGCAAACCATACGTTTTTTTTTTATATCTGGTTTTCACGAATTCTATGTTTAGTTGAGTTGCCTAACTCACTTTTGGATTGATATAAATTTTAGAAGTTACCTCTCGTAGGGAAGATACGACACAAATGTTTACTAACTAAGAGACTTAGACAAATTTTGTCTTAAAACTAAAAGTTTTATCTTACCTCAAATTTAGATTTATATAATTATTTGGGTAGTACTTGCCTATAGGAAGTTTTGCTCATCCAATGAGTTATATAAAATTTTGGTCCTTTATCATTAAAAGTTTCTTAAGTTTTTTATATTTAGTCTTATATAAATTATGTGAAAACACTTTTCCTATGGGAAGCGCTGCCGAAATTTCATGAAATTTAAAAGAGTTATAATATTTTAAAACCACAAAAATTTTAGGAATTTACCCATGCTTAAGAGAGATGCTGCTTTACTTTTTAATATTTTCAGATAAATATTAGAAATAAAATAAAAAGATAGGATTATTTCATACTCATTCAAGCATAGCTTGGACGCCGACATGTGCTGCGTTGCAGATAATTTTCATTCAGATTTTTTCAAAGCTTGACTAATTTCAAGCTGATCCTTCGAGGATCATTTTTGGTATTTTTTTATAACAAGTCGTTTTTTTACTAAACTCTGACCCATTCTCGCTACTCAACCCAAGACCTTAGCCCATATGAGTTAAAATATTTCTTTGGGTTTTTACCCGGACTTTTATTGAATGACAATTTAAAAAGGGACTAAGTGCTCTTTTTTTTTGAAGGTTGGACAAAGATGGGGGTTTGTTTGACTAAGGCAAGGGGTGCGAGTACAAAAAATTGATGAAGTCAACCACGTAGAGCGCGTGGTCTCAGACTGTCCATATTGAATCTTCGGTATGATTGCAGGTATGTTTTGTGAGTTGAAGTCGGAATTTAAATTTATTTGTGATCATGTGTATATTTTGAAGAGAGTTGCACTATGATTGTGAGAGTGATCGCTTTGTATCCAATAACCCCGGTATATTTATGTTTCTAAGTACTCGCGCAATTTGCTTTAACCTTACGCAAGGATTAAGCAAACCAGTATGGAGATAATTAAAATATCGCGTTTTATTTTTTATTTTTAGTTTTTTATAGTTGGACGTTGAATTCCGTGACGATTGTCAAAGTTTAACGCTTTCAAATTTATCTGTTTCCGGACCTCCAACGATGGAGCACCGCTACGAGAGTAAGTAGCGTTTGACCACCACCAAGGGCCGAACCCAATCTATCCCTCTCCTTAGTGTGGAAAAGAGGGTAGGTCTCACAATCACACTTGTGATTGTCTAGCGTTGAGGGGTTACCCCCTCAAAACGTGTGTCATCCGACACTTGAGTGTCAAAAGCGATCCAAAAAATCATTAAAGACCCCGTGGTCATGGGTATCACATAATACGCCGTCATTGCGACCGCTTGTGTGTTCATGCATGGTTGATCGATATGACAAAGTCTACGTCCCTGAGGTATTGTTCAGTGTCTCTCGTACGACACCCGCGTATTTGTTTCGTTGAAAGTTACGAGTCGGATGTGAACAAGGGACTAGGTGCGACTTACGTATGAAGCTTGATTTTATTTTGTGAAGTGTATTGCGTGGTTAGAGTGACCGTCTTACTCGACCGGTGTAGGATCGCGTTCGAGAGATCAGCGCCGTGGGCGGCGATTCACGCACGAGTCCAATTCGGGTATTAACAGCGAGTACCCTTATGCTACAGCAATCGAGAAACGCACTTGGCTGGGCCACCTCTACGATTGTATACGAAAAACTTTCGTACATGGTAGGTAGCTCGACGGGGATATGCCCACCTAAAGGATGGTGACAACTCCCATGGGTGGAGGTAAGTTGTACCTTGTGTGACCTTATCTTGTCGTAGGGGTTCGCGAGAGGTATGGCTGGCGCACTCGACCGAAGCTGCAACGCTTTACGACAAAGTCCTGCAAAATCCTGCGCGATGCGGCCAGGAGGGTCCCCCTTGCGGGACCGATGCACTCGACAACGGGGGGCAATATGTATCCCCACCATGGTTGTAGGGGTCCCCTGTATAGGCTTGGCAGCAGTGGCAAGTAAGAACCCGCCAATGCATTGCTGGCTTGGGAGGGCAGTGGCGGGGTCTTACTTGCCAACTGAGCTAAGCCTATTGACCCTTTTTTCCCATTCAGAGAGTGCAAGAGCTAGACCCTTTTGGGTGCGTCCCATTCAGAGATTGCCAAAACTAGACCCTTTCCGGTGCCTTGAGCTAGACCCTTTTGGGTGCCTTGAGCTAGACCCTTCTGGGTGCGTCCCATTCAGAGTGCCGGAGCTAGACCATTTTGGGTGCCTTGATAGACTCACATTCACATTTGATTCGTGGTGCTGCGACCCCGGAAATGTCATCAGCACAGCGTCGTTTACGTGTGGCGAGGACTGGCCCAGAAAACTGACGGACGGACAGCGAGCGGCGTAACAAGGTCCGCAGCCTTGTGGCTCCATGAGAACGCGCTGACTTCCGCTGAACCTCTCAATAGTTTGGCAGGAAAGCACGAAGGGGTAGTGCGAGCAGGCCCTAAACCTACGGTGGGCAACAGACCCAGACCTGTTTTATTTTTCGTTTCAGAGCCTCGCTTCTAAGCAGCGTTCTTCTCTCAGATTGACATGTACTACCTGCCGACCTTCGAAATCTAGGGTACCCGCATTACGCGGCAAGCCCTTCATTCATGTCATTTTTCAGAAAAGAGCAGGGTGTCTTTCATGCGCTGGCAAAAAGTGCAAGAATCGGCATTACTCCACGTCAGAAGCGACCCCCGACATGGGAAGGCCATAGGCCGCAAGTCTGTGCAGCACACCGTACGGTGACAAGCCAGGTCAGACCAGACAGGATCAGACGGGACGGGCGCGGACCGAACGGGCAATGGGCCTCGCTCCACTACTCACACATGCACAAAAAGACAACATAATATGGCCGTGTATGTTCCCATGTTCAAGCAGGAGATTCATTTCCATTTTGCACATTTGGTGAGTAGTCGAGCGAGGCCCATTGACCAGACATAGCGGGGATGAAGAGTTACGCTGTGTGCCGTCGTGGGCCTTGCCCCAGTAGTACCTCCTTTGTGCCGTGGATGGGAGGTATCAACGGACGAGATGGGCGTCTTTGCTGACTTGTTTGGGGGTATTCAAGTCGTTTGGGAACTCTCTCTGATGCCGGCGGCAATGAGACGAAACGACAGGTGCGCGCAGATTCAAAAAGACAAAACAACACGGAAGCGCGGGGCGTCGGCAAGCTCGGGAGAAAGGAAGGAAAGGCAAAAGAAAACTACGGGCAGTACAGGCAGTAAATATTTCTTATATATTATTTTTTATTTAATATTTTTTATTTTAAATAGCGATGTTGATGTTGATGATGAAAACAGCAGTGAAGAACCGCATTCAGCGCGACTCGAGCAGTCGACTCGTGACGTGGCGGGAAAATGCTATTCCCCTCCGTTCATATCGTGCCCGCGTGGCATTTCGCAAGCGACGGCGCACAAAGACAGGGGCGCCATGGAACTCGTATTATCAGCCGTAGATCTGTTTAGCACACGGCTGCAATGAACTGGTTTTGTAAAAAGTTTGCAGGTTTGGCGGTGGAAAGACAAATCTGCGTCTGGGCGGGCAATGTCGGTGGTCCCCGCGCTGCTGCACTGCTGCACTGCTGCACGCACGAGTTCCCTCGGGGCGAGAACCGCCGGCCTCGCCAGACCACTCTCCAAATGTGAAAAAAAGCAAAAATATGGCGGGTGCATCTGTCCATGTACTTGTAGAAATTCATTCTCGGCGAGGCCCAACATCTCCCGCAACCATCCATCCGCTCCCGTGTCTGATGATCGACGCGCCAGCTCCCAGTGGTGCTCAAGGAGTTTTGCCGTGTAGCCGGTGCGCTACACGCGCCCTCCCGCTTCCTTCCCCTCCTCCTTCCGCGTCCTCCTCCGTCGTTTCTCCCCGCTTCTTCTCCCTCCTGAAATTGGATCAAGTCAACTCTCGCCCGGAGTCAGGCATTGTCTCCGTTCCGTTTTTCATGCCTTGCTTGTCGAGATCGAGGGTGCGCAAACAGTAGCAGTAGAAGCAGCAGAAGAAGAAGCAGTAGGAGCAAACTACAGCGTAGCAGAAGGTGATAGTAGATTACACGTAGGAAGACGACGGTTCAGATAGCAGGATGATGAACCAGCTCACGAGAATGGGGCCCAGGGGGCTGGCTATGGAGGGGATGGTGAGAATTGGCGCCGCGAGATCATATGACCTTCTTCGGAGGGCGTTTTCTGCGTCAGCAGCGTCAGCGGTATCCTCGTCCTCATCAGCATCAGCATCGGCTCCTTTCTGCTCGTCCTCCATCGCCACCGCTGCTGCTGCGAGTTCCGCAGCGGCGGCCGCGGATACGAATGAGCAAGGGAGGGCTCATGGTGGGCTGAAAGACGAAGATCGCATCTTCACGAATTTGTACGGTCAAGCCGATCCTTTCTTGAAGGGCGCTTTGTCGAGGGGAGTGTGGTATCGAACCCGTGACCTGGTGGAAAAAGGTTCTGAGTGGATCATCGAGGAAGTGACGAAGTCCGAGCTTCGAGGGCGAGGAGGTGCAGGCTTTCCTGCTGGGCGTAAGTGGTCTTTCATGCCCAAGGTATCTGACGGCAGGCCGTCTTATCTAGTGGTAAACGGGGACGAGAGCGAGCCAGGAACCTGTAAGGACAGAGAGGTGATGCGGCACGATCCACACCGGCTTCTAGAGGGTTGCTTACTTGCTGGAGTAGCAATCAGAGCGAAGTCCGCGTACATATACATACGAGGTGAGTTTGTGAACGAGCGAAAGGCGGTCCAGAAGGCTGTGAAGGAAGCCTACGCGGCCGGCTACTTGGGCAAGAATGCCTGTGGAACTGGGTACGACTTCGATGTGCATGTACATCATGGGGCTGGCGCGTACATCTGTGGGGAGGAGACGGCTCTCCTCGAAAGCCTGGAAGGCAAACAGGGAAAGCCTAGGCTTAAACCGCCTTTCCCTGCCAACGCAGGTCTGTACGGTTGTCCGACGACTGTGACTAATGTGGAGACGGTGGCTGTCACTCCGACCATCCTCCGTCGCGGGCCGGAATGGTTTGCAGGATTTGGAAGGAAGAACAACTCTGGAACAAAGCTGTTTTGCATTTCCGGGCATGTCAATAAGCCGTGCACTGTCGAGGAGGAAATGAGCATTCCGCTGAAGGAGTTGATTGAGCGGCACGCGGGCGGTGTTAGAGGCGGGTGGGACAATTTGTTGGCGGTTATCCCGGGGGGCTCGTCCGTGCCGCTCATCCCCAAACACGTGTGCGACGAGGTACTGATGGACTACGACTCGCTTGAGGCTGCAAAGTCCGGCCTTGGTTCCGCCGCTGTGATGGTAATGGACAAGTCCACGGACATTGTCGACGCTGTTGCGCGGTTGGCATTCTTCTACAAGCACGAAAGCTGTGGGCAATGCACCCCGTGCCGTGAGGGTGCCGGCTGGCTCTTCAATATTCTCTCTAGGTAATGCTTGCTTACCGCAAACGCCCTCCTCTTCTTTTCAACGATTCATATATTATGTACGTTTCCTGTTTAAATTTCCTTTTGTGCAGATTGCTTGATGTAGTCACTCCATTATACTCGCCTGCGATCGGATCTCGTCCCTCTTTTCTCCCAATTCTGAATCCCATCTTTTTTCCCAATTCTTCTCTGTAAGGGCGTTGTACTGGCCCTGCAGTATGATCTAGTTACTCAATGAGTCGTCTTGCCTGAACGTATCTGGCCACAATCAAAGCCAGATGAGGTCGAGGAAGTTCTAGAGTGAGAGGATGCTCCCTAATCCCTTCTCCCTTCTCCCTTCTCCAGTTATGCACGTGCTTAGTAGGGCGGGGATGGCGTTTTATCTCCGCTCCACAGCTTTGTGAAGTTATCGCCTGCACTTGGATAAGACCGTGTTGCGAGAGTTGTGTTTACGACTACCTTATTCCCCCGAATACAACGTACGGTCATTATAGCTGTATTTGAGGCATCTTTCAGTCTAGATACAGCTATAATGACCGTACGTTGTATTCGGGGGAAGAAGGGTACCTGTGGGGAGATCCGACATAAGGATTCAGGCGCGACTGGTGAGAGTTTGGGCGATACTGTGACTGGTAAGAGCTGCGCTACTCTGTTCCCCCCAACTCCATGCAGAGCGCTGTTCTGTGCTAGCCTTGCACGATTTTGTTCGTTTGAGGATCGGGATCGTGGTTGTGTTTCGTACTTAGCATCCAGTAATTCGCATCCTTAGCTGTCCTTAAGAATCCCATGTGATTGTTCGGCGTGGGCGTCCCGATCTCTAACGCTGCTTTGTGGAGTCGTGTATATTCTATGTACATGTAGTAAAAGTCTATTACCATTTCTTTTCCTTTTCTCCCTTCTCTCTTCCTAGGGTTCAGAGTTCCGTGTGACAGCGGCAATGATCAGAGCCGTCAAGACACGGGCCTGCTCCTACCGTTATTTACTAATAGTCATTTATATTCTATGTAGATATAGAGGGCCGCCCGCTATGGTTTCCTCCGATCAGGTTTAGCGGCAATGCTCGGGGCCGTCGCGACACGGGCCTGCTGTACCTCTTGTGCTAGTGGTGTGTCTGGAGGGTATTTTCCGCCCGTGGCAGATCTTTCTTCGTCTCCTGGGGGGTTTGCTGGGGCATATGATGGTTGCTGAACCTGTATTCTGTAGAGTTTGCTCACTGGTGTGCGTGAGTGATGGTCTGCTTTGATTGTAGTCACGGGTATCCTCGAGGGCGGTGGTATGTGTCCAGCCCTGGACATCAGCTGTTGGGCAGTGGTTGCTGCCCAACCGCATGTTTTGAAATTATTTCTCTCTGTACAAGATTTGGACCATTTTTCGATTTATGCGTGTCATCCTTGCGCAGGGGCCATGCTAATATTCTCTGAATCGTTCCAATTTTAACGGATGTCCCGAAGGACGAACCCAGTCGCAATTGCCGCTAAGGTAGATCGTCAGCTTACAGTATCATTGGTTAGACGAGTCTGCAGACTGTAAATGTTCAGCCTCCTGACGAGCCGGTGAAACTCCGACGGAACACTCTGTAATAGCTCCCCGTTTCTTGTCCTACGGCTTACCGGGCAGTTCTGTGTGACTGCAATAAATATATACACTATATATATGTATATATCGTCAAATAGAACTGCCCGGTAAACCGTAGGCAGAGAGGGAGAAGAGGACAACAAACGAGGGGCTGTGACAAACTGTTTCGTCGGAGTTTCACCGACTCATCATGTATATATGTATATATGTATATATATTCTTTCCCCTTTTTTGCGCTCTGATTCACAATGTGACAATATATATCGTCAAACAGAGATGCCCGGGAAACCGTAGGTGGCAGAGAGGGAGAAGAGGACAACAAAGGAGGGGCTGTGACAAGCTGTTTCGTCGGAGTTTCACCGACTCATGAGGAGGCTAAACCTGAGCAGTCTGCAGAATCCCCCAACTGATTACACTGTAAGTGATAGCCCACCGTAACCCCGGCTGTGGTTAAGCATCAACGACTGCCCGACAACTGATACCCTGAGGTGGGCACGAACCACTGCCCTCAAGGTATCTGTGACGAAAATCAAAGCAGACTGTCACTCACCCATACCCAGATGGAAAACTCTACAGACTGTGGGTTCACACCCAATCACAAGCCATCAAAACACCCACGAAACAAAGAAAAAAAAAGGTCTGTCACCGCCAAAAAATACACTCCAGACACGCCGCTGGCACTAGAGGCACAGCATTGCCGCATATTGACGGCCCCGACCACTGCCGCTCGACCTGACCGTAGAAAACCGTAGCAGCGTGCTAGCGAAGTCGTGGTATATATCGGCAAACAGAGCTGCCCGGTAAAATTTATACTCCGACGAAACAGTATGTCACCGCCCCTCGTTTGTTGTCCTCTTCTCCCTCTCTGCTTACGTACGGTAAACCGGACAGCTGCTCTGTTTGACGATAATGCTTGACATCCTGGTTGGTCTTGTCCCGTCGTTTGGCCTGTGGGCAGGGGCGGTGCTTGCATGTGGGACTTGTCATCTGGGATCTGTTTTGTTGCCCCCTGTTCTGTATTATTTGGCTGTTCCCTTCCTCTTTTCTTTACCTCTTTTGCCTTTTGGCTGTGTGCAAGTGGGTCGATATGACACACGGGGGTTGGGGCAGCAGCCGCCGCTCAACCTACATCCACGTGGGCGGTCTTGTAAGCAAAAGAGGTTCTGAACAGGGGGAGTTATAAGGAAGAAGATAAAAATCTGAATTCATTTTTTTCTGTTTTTCTTCCTTTTTTTCTTTCTTTTTTTTCGCATTAAATTTTGCGCTCTGATATTTTTGTGACAATATATGTCGTCCTATGTACTATCTAATCGTAATATATGGATATATAAAATTTATCTCTGCAACGAAGTTGGCTGAGGAAAGGTTAGAGGAAAGGTCAGGTCTAGAGATCGTGGATGTGTAGAGCCTTTCATCTACTTATTGTGAATTTGAGTAAATTGAGTTCGTTGCGGATTCACAAGCTTGCGAAGGAGTGAACTTAGGAGGTTGGGTGCCTAAAGGACTTAAGAGGAGGTGTTAAAGACGTGCACAAGACGTTTGCCCGCAGTTTCCCGCTACACCACGAAGTTTTCCATCACTCCCCGTGAACGACGCTCCTTCTCTGTCGCTGTACTAGCTGTTCATTTCTCTGGATAATTGTCTGGAAACGGAGATCGGAATTCGTTATTCGAGTCTCTAACTCATTCTTTAACTCATTCGCCGGAACATTGTAATGTTCCCAATGCACTGAATCGGTACGACAATGGTTGAAATGTTCCCAAGAGGTGATCACTAAGTGGTTAAACATAGCCGGTCGCGCGCATGTGCCTGGAGTACTGGACACAATTAGATCTGGTCGCGCTCATTGTCCTCTCTCATTGCACGCTGTCTGTGTCGGTAGCGTGGCTACGCGTAACGTTCTTTGTGAGAAAGACCTGTTATGACGTAATAGTTGTAAGTTTGTTTTGTTGTTCGTGCCCGCCCTTCAAGCTGGTGGTTCTGTTGTCTTTTGTTTTGTTTTGTTGTTTCGTTTTGTGTTTGTACGAGTGCCTGAGTGTGTCGTTTGTTTGCCCGCTCTTTTTTCTGTTTGCTGTGTTTGTATGTGTGCTTGTGTGTTGATTGTTTGTAGAACTTTGTACGTTGTCGTTTTTTTCTTTTCTTCTGTTTGCTCTGTTTGTTAGTGTCCTCTCGTGTTTGTTGTTTGTTTGTCCCTTGTCTGTTTTGCTATTTTGTGCGCTTGTGTATGATCGCCGGTGTGTGATGTTTGTTTGGCTTGTTTGGCTTGCTGCGTGCCTGCCCGTACGCGCGCTCCGCAGATGCTCATGTAGTCTATGAGAAAAGGAGAAGGACGCTGAATGTCGTCCTCAGAAAGTCTTTCAGTCTTAAGCTGTTCTTTGGCATAGGGATAATGGATTAGAAATGACACGAGGCAAGTATCGCCTTTGACGTGCTAGTAATCATGCCGGCTTCGCGGCGGGTGCTCGAGTACTGCATTTGTCTTTTATTTTTGAGACGGCAAGGACAGTTCCTGTTGTCGGAAAGATCGTTTTTGAAAGTATCGTAGTGACTAAGTGTTCCTCTGGAAAATTACTTCCTGAGAGCGCCACCGTGGCTACTTGGACAGCCTTGTTTTGCTCGTCAAGGGTGTCTGCATTTTTCACGCAGGGAATAGCTAAGGGCGTGTAATCGGGGATTGCACTTTTTTTTTTTTTGGGGGGGGGGGGGATTGCACTTAATTAAGCTGACATAAGTAATTTCCTGGTTTGAATATGGGAAGAGAGAGGGCGAAATTGCGAGAGAAAGAGTGAATGGGACGTAGAACCCGATGGAAAATGCACCCACTCATTTGTTGCGGCGATCTACAGACTGTGGTAAACTTGGAGGGGGCGGGGTGTCATTGATGATGATATATATCGAGGAGCTGGTGCTCAAATGAAAGTCTCTCACTCTCTCTCGTTTTTTGTCCTTTTCTCCTTCTGCCTACGGTTCACCGTTTAGTTCTCCATAACTATATGTATACATATGTATACGGTTTACCGGCCAGTTCTGTTTGTGACGATATATGTATATGTAAATATATATATAAGCGGAACTGGCCGGTAAACCGTAGGCAGAGACGGAGGAAAGGACAGCAAACAGGGGCTGTGACAAACTGTTTCGTCGGAGTTTCACCAACTGTGCGTGTTTATATGTGTGTGTATATATGTTTCATGTCATCTATGCAGATATGAATGTAAACATATATATGGCTGTTCCCTTCCTCTTTTCTTTTTTCTTTTTTTTTCTTTTTTTTTTTTTAAATTTAAAGAAGGGCGACGGCCTTGAGATATTATCATTGAGCTGACCGGCCCCAAGCAATTCATTAGCAGTTCAACTTGGTTTTACTCAAGTTCCATCATCTGGATTCGAACACAGGTCTGTATTTCAACAGTTCATGGGTGTACCCACTGCGCTAGGCTCTTGGGTCTTCCTCTTTTTTTTGCCTCTTTGCCTTTTGGCTGTGTGCAAGTGGGTCGATATGACACACGGGGGTGGGGGCAGCCGCCGGTCAACCTACATCCACGTGGGCGGCCTTGTACGCAAGAGGTTCTGAACATGGGGGGGGGCGGGCTGACCCCCGAACGTTCGGGCGTTCGGGGTCCTGTTTGGGGTTCGAACCCGAAAGGCTTCGGACCCCGCCAAAACTTATTTCGGGGCCAATTTTTTTTTGTTGTTGTTGTTGAATGTGTTTTTGTGAGTTCTGTATGACATGCGCTACATGCATACAAGTTTTCAAGGCATTTTGCCAATCCACTCAAAAAAAAAAAAAAAAATTCACTTTTTGCGCTGATTTTATTTTCAAATTGGTGCCTCATATATTTTATTATTTTTTGAAACCTTTTTTATGAGATTTATATTATGTGCAATACTACTGTTAATTTTCAGGGTATTTGGCTTTCCCAAGAAAAGGATGTCACGCTGAGGCGAACGTTGTTCGTTTTACTTTTCTGCATATTTTGTTCAGATTTTTTTGAATTTTTGGAGTATTTAATTGTTTTAGGGCCGCATTCTCATCCCCAAGAGGGGCCGAACGTTCACCAAGTTCGGGTTTGGGACCGGCATATATATACAGGGTAACCGCCGTTCGTGAAGGGCTGAACGCCCGAACGTACGGGACTCCTTGGGGATGCATTCGGCCGTTCAGGCCAGATGCAAACCCAAAAAAAAAAAACTGAAACAAAAATATGTTATGAAGAAAAATACAGTAAGGAACATTTGTTGTTTTTTTTTTTCGAAAAACGGAGCAATGTCTTTACAAAAGCCGGGAACCGGGCCCGGCATCCCTTACAGAGTAGGTGGGGCCCTCAGTGGGCAAGGCAGCATTACATCCAAATTCCTTACCAAATTTTGAAAGAAATATAATACTAATAATAAAAGTAGAAAAAAATGAAAAGAGAATTAAAATTAGTGAGTAAGCGAGCACGTTTTCGACAATGCCATCTTTGGCAATTTTTTATGTTTTTTTGGCACAGCCAAATGTCCTGAAAATTTACAGATGGGTACTTCACATAATACAAAACTCGTTAAACAAGTTTCAAAAAATAATCAAATTGTATAGGGAAAACAGAAAGTAAAAAAACAAAATATTGAGTGGGCAAGCACCTGACGCTGCCATCTTTGGCGATTTTTAATTTTCGTTTGGCTTAGCAAAATGACTTCAAAATTTATAGGGATGTACATCACATTATAAAGAGCACCGAAAAAAAAAGTCAGGAAAAAATGTTATTTTTAGGCCCTGAAATATCTTTTGGCGGGGCTGAACGGGGCCCTGAACGCCCATACGTACGGGACCCCGGACCCCTTTGGGTTCGGACCCCGAACGGGACCCGGAACGCCCGTACGTACGGAGACCGAATGGGACCCCGAACGCCCGTATGCGTACGGAGTCCGAACGGGATCCCGTACGCTTGGTTGGGTTTGGCAGTAGTTAGTGAAATTGGATGAAGAGCACTATAGACAAGAAAATGTCCCAGTTTGCATATTTCAAAATGTATCGTTTGTTGGATTGGTGGCATGATTGATATATTGATTGATATATTGATTGATTGATTGATTTATTGATTGATATATTGATTTATTGATTGATATACTGATTTATGGATTGACTTATTGATTGATTTATTGATTGATTTATTGATTGATTTATTGATTATAGGATGTAACTATGATGAGAAGAGGGTAAATTCGCCAGTAATTCGTGGAGTTGAAAGAAGAGAGCAGTATAGACAAGAAAACGTCCAACCTTGCATCTACAACATCAGTTTGTAAAGCACTTGCCTCTACATGTAACAGCTTGTAAAGCACGAGCACAGAACTAACGAAAATGAGCTTTCTCCTTTCTTCCCTTGGCATATTGCAGGATGAAGACGGGAGACTGCCAGGTTGAGGAGATTGACATGATGCAAGAGGTCGCAAAGCAAATTGAGGGTCATACCATCTGCGCGCTTGGGGATGCAGCTGCACGACCAGTGCAAGGGCTTGTACGGCACTTCCGCCCGGAGTTGGAGAGGAGGATTAAGGAGCGAGTGGGCCAAGTGAGAGTGGCAGTGTAAGCCAGCGGGCTAGGATAGGAGATGTGTGTGTGTGTGTGTGTGTGTGTGTGTGTGAGAGAGAGAGAGAGAGAGAGAGAGAGAGAGAGAGACTCGTCGGTGAGAGGTTGATTTATAGAGAAGTTAAATAATAGTATATTGGAGAAGGTTCTCCCACGCACACGCTATGACGGTTCGATTCGTTCCGTTAACGGATTCCCTGTAGGCTACAACCATGCGCTGTCCCAAAGAGAGACGGAAGGAGGGGAGAATGTGCCAACATAGATTGCAGGAAGGGGAGGCAGGGAACGCTCAGAAAGATCCGGGTGAAGAACGTAGGCCGAGGTGGTGTGTGGTACGAAGCCTATAGTGGCTGGAGAGGAATGCTCGAGAATCGTGGTTTCACAGATGTTCGCTTGCTCTCAATTGCAGGCTTTGGTTTTCTGTGGGGTTGTCACTTAACCCCTCTCATCCTTGACGCTCGTGCTGGCTGCCTGTACTACCTCTCCTTGTTGGGACGGTGGAAGGCCGGTGAAAGCGGGTCGCAGCCTACGGTTTGTGTTGATCACACATAAACACGTACATGTGGTGAAAGTCCGACGAAACAGTATGGCACGGTCAAGCTTTTTCTGTGGAGTTGTCTACAGCGAACATGACAACGCACACCACACAGTGTCACACACACATACAGGCGCACGCACGCAAACACACTCATGTATAGACACACACCCGCACCCTCACCCACACTCATGCCTTGAGAGTCGCATTTCCGTAGGCACCCCTAAGGGCCCCAAGCATAAGTTTGTGTTCTGACTTCACACCATGTTTACGGTTGTGCTCCACTGCAGATTCTTCGAGGAATTCCTCGGAGAATGGCGGGCTCCACTGCTCTTTCCACATTTTTTCACTATGGGGAAGGTGGCCACTTATTTCTGAAAACTGAAGTTCTCCTGCATTGGCCGTGTTCCTCTGCCGAAACGGGGGTTCTTAAGTTAGGACTACCCTGCACGTTATCGCTGGCCAAGAATTTTCTCAGGCCGGCGCGTTCCGGCAGATCGTCCAGCCAACAGTGAAGGTGTTCTCCGGGCATCCCAATGACGGTGTTCTCCGAGTATCCCAACGATGTCAGAATGCGCCAGATGGTCCAGCCAACAGTGAAGGTATTCTCCGGGCATCCCAATGGCTCCCCTGGCGTCGAAGTGCACTGTCAGGTAGGAAGGGAATGAATCATCCACTGTAACATGGGAAAATACACCCCCTGCTTTTTTTCTTTTTTCTTTCTGACAGTTGCATTGAGTACGGGGCTGATTGCGGCTGTCACACAGCCTCTTCGGTAGAACCGTTACTGGACCTTGGGAAGGTCCAGTTTCCAGCCAGTGGACCGTGCCATCCTGACGGGTTCTCACAGGGCGGCGGGAGTTTTGTCAATAGGCGTGCCCAACGCTGCAGGTGGAGCCCCACGAATTATTACGGGAAGTGCGGCATTTTGAAGTTAAGAAAAGGAATTCTTCAAGGAATTGGCAGTGGAGCACAAGCCTTGTTGTGAAGCGGACAGGAGCGAATGGCGCCTGCGGAAAATGCTGTGAACCCATTAGCGAAGATGTGCTGGCAATGCGACCACATAAGCTGGCTAGCACGAACGTTCCAGGGAAGTATAACTGTTATCTGGTGGTCGGGTGGCGAGACCCAAATTGTCTCATCGGGAAGAAAATGATTGTCCCAGGTAGCGGTGTTACGGGGGTTGGGAGGAAAATTTTACCCAGTAAACCTGCTCGCTGTGTTACGCAGGGAGACTCGTGCCGGTCTTGATTAGGCTGTGCTGCGTGTGTGCGCTTCTTGGCACTTTGGGAAAGCAAATGGTGAACGGTCCTCCAGCCGTTGTGTCCCCTGAGTGTGGCCCGACCTATGCAGGAAGTGACTATACAGCCCGCATGACAGCGACTGATCGGTCATGCCGGGTACAGTGGGTCCAACAGGTCTTCGACAAGAACAGGGGGAATAGATGTCCTGTTCCAGCAAGTGTGTTCCGAAGTTGACATTGATATCCAGGCCTCTTAAGGGAGAGGAATTTGGGATGATTGTGGTGCAGAGAGACACAGAGAGAGAGAGAGAGAGAGAGAGAGAGAGAGGGAGAGAGAGAGAGAGAGAGAGAGAGAGAGAGGGAGAGGAATT